AAAGTTCTCTTTGTGTATCCTCACTGAAACCTTCTCTCAGACATTATCTGACTTCATTTCCAAGGGTTTTAAATGCTTTTTTCTTGCTGCAAATGAAAACAAGTTGGAAGGCATTGCTTAGACACATTCTCTTCTCTCCTTCCTGAACCCTCTTTCAATTTCACCTGACCCCAAACTCCCACCCTAGCAGATGATTCATTCATCTTTCTCTCCTGGTTCAACCAATATCCTGAGCTATGATTCACATTTTCAATTGTTTCCTGAGCCCTTCTCTTTATGTGACCCCCTTATTACCCCAATTCAACTTAAAATTAAATTTGTTTTCTCCATATCTACATATGGATTCTATTTGGATCATGGTCACTGCCATCTTTCCAGTCACCTGGACTCATATTTAATATTAACATCTGCCTCTGTTTTGCTATTTGTTTCAGTTGCTATGGTTTTATCAGTGTATTTTACTGAATCTTATGTTTTTACCTTCCATATAGTTCCCAGAAGTAGAATCCCTGATTGTAGCTCATGCTTCCCATTACACTTTACCAAGATTATTTTTGTAACTTCCTGTTTTCCAATTTCCAGTGTCTCCCATTCTATCAACTATCACATGACCTGTAGAGCAATCATCCTAAATAAAAACACTAATCATGTCAGTAGGGTATAAAATCTTCAATAATTCTATTATATTCATGGTCATTTCAAAATTCCATGTATTTTAAATGCCTCTTACAATCCGACCTCAATCTATATTCTCCCTAGATTCCCGAATAACTGGATCTTCTTGCTGTTCCAGAAATTTATCTGACACTTTCATAACTCTGTGTCTTTGCCCTCACTTGTGCTGCCTTTACCTTTTCATACTGAAACCTTTCTGGCAAGCATAAAATGATGCCTCTCACCTCTCTTCAACAAGAAGTTCTTCTGCTTACGTTCCCCAACAAAATACAAGTTGACAATGACTGAGAACAGATCTTTTTTCTATGTTCCTCACTGCACCTAGCATACATACAGCATATAACATAGAGTAAATGTTAAGTTGGATTGACATATTAGCACTCCATCTGACAAGGTTATAATGTACTGAGTTATGTAGATAAGTGCAACTATGTGATGCTTTTGATCTTAAAGGCAGATCATATATAAAAATTCTTATTTTAATATGAATTCTTCAGAGAAACAAAATCTCTACTTCATTATAAATGAGCCTATATAGAACTTAATTTAAAATGGTAATAAATTAAAATTCCCCCAATTTTTGAACTGTTATTCGTGTTTTCTCCTTTTTTACACTGTCCATTTCTTAGAGTCCCAGCAAAGAACAGTCTTTATAGGTACATTTAAATGCTGAGATATTATCAAAAAATTTACCTACCAGTTTCTCTATCAACCAAAACAAACACTAAGCTATTTAAACATTAGATTGATTTTTTCTGAATTGAAAGCTCTGCCTTATCTGAAATTTTATGCAAGTTAGCAAAATGTGACTATCTTTAAATTTTAAGTAAATCCCATCAAGCTAAAGTTTGCCTGGGCTCTAACGACAGAATTAAATCCAGTAATATGAACGACAAATTGAGAAATGAAATGGTTGAGGTAGATATGAACTCTATAACAAGAGTGGGCATTTAGCTTGGTGGCGAAAACACTGGTTAAGATGCCTGCATCCCATATCTGAGTGCCTGGGTTCAACACCCACTTCTTCATCTTATTTCAGCTTTCTATTAATGTAGATCCTGGGAGGCAGCAGGGATGGCTCAAGTAATTGGGTTCTTTCACATGGAGGATCTGGATTGAGTTCAAGGCTCCTGGTCTCATCTCCATCCCAGCCTCAGTCATTTTTGGCATTTGGGGAGTGAACCAACAGGTAAGGGTACAAAGCAAGAGGCATCACAATACCTGATTTCAAGACATTCTACAGGGATGTTAAAATCAAAATAGTCTCATACTGCCACAAAAACATACTTGTAGACCAATGGAACAGAATAGAAGCTCCAGAAATCAATCCATGCATCTACAGCCAACTTATCTTTGATAAAGGAGCTCTAATCAATCTGTGGATCAAGGACAATCTCTTTAACAAACAGCACTGGGAGACCTGGATCTCCATGTGCAGAAGTATGAAACAAGACCCCCACCTTATACTTCACACTAAAATCCACTCCAAATAGATCAAAGACCTAAATCTATGGCCCAATACTATCAAATCATTACAGAAAATGGGGGAAACTCTACAAGACATTGGCATAGACAAAGGCTTCTTGGAAAAGATCCCAGAAGCACAAGAAATCAAAGCCAAAATTGACACATGGGATTACATCAAGCAAGAAACTTCTGGAAATACAAAAGAAACACTCAGCAAAGTGAAGAGACAACTGACAGAATGGGAGAAAATATTGGAAAACTACACAACTGATAAAGGGTTAACATCCAGAATCAATAAAGAGTTCAAGAAATTCAACAACAAAACAAACAATCCAGTGAAGAAATGGGCAAAGGATTTAAACAGGCATTTTTCAAGAGAGGAAATCCAAATGGCTAACAGACACTTGCAAAAATGCTCAGGATCATTAGCCTCAAGGAAATGCAAGTCAAAACTACAAGAAGGTTTCACCCCACTCCAGTTAGAATGGCTCACATACAGAAATCAACAAATGACAAATGCTGGTGAGGATGTGGAGGAAGAGGTACCTGTTAGTGGGACTGTAAACTGATGCATCCACTGTGGAAGACAGTATAGAGATACCTCAGAAATCTGAATATAGACCTACCATAAGAATCAGCCATCACACTCCTGGGAATTTACCCAAACCAAAAGAAATCAGTATATGAAAGTTATCTGTACCCCCATGTTCAGTGCAGCATAATTCACAATAGCTAAGATATGGAATCAACCCAGATGTCCACCAACTGTTGACTGGATAAAAAAAAATTATGGTATATTTACACTATGGAGTACTACTCAACTGTAAAAGAAAATGAAATCCTGTTTTTGCAACATGATGGTTGCAACTGGAAATCATTATGCTTAGTAAAAATAAGCCAGTCCCAAAAAGACAGTTGTAATATGTTTTCCCTGATCCAATGTAACTAATAGAATACCTGAAATGTAATGTATTGGAGTAAAATAGACATTTTGAAAATAAATGATTGTTTATAGCCCTTGTCTCTTCCAATGGGGAGCAATGTTTTGTTTTGTGTTATTTTGTTTTCTTTCTCTGCATACTATTTTTTTTTTTGACTGGCAGAGTGGACAGTGAGAAAGAGAGACAGAGAGAAAGGTCTTCCTTTGCCATTGGTTCACCCTCCAATGGCCACTGCGGCCGCCGCACCGCGCTGATCCGATGGCAGGAGCCAGGTACTTATCCTGGTCTCCCATGGGGTGCAGGGCCCAAGTACTTGGGCCATCCTCCACTGCACCACTGCACTCCCTGGCCACAGCAGAGAGCTGGCCTGGAAGAGGGGCAACCGGGACAGAATCCGGTGCCCCGACCAGGATTAGAACCCAGTGTGCCGGCACTGCAAGGTGGAGGATTAGCTTATTGAGCCGCGGCACTGGCCCTCTTCATACTATTTGTTCAACTCCTTTACTTAGAGTAGGGTTAACTATACAATCATTAAGTATACTGAAAATAGATCATTGTACAAATTAATAATGGGAATCCAAGAGGGATGGGGAGGAAGGGTTGTAGTGTAGGCCGGAGCGGGGAGGGGGGGTAGTTCCACTATGTTCCTAAACCTGTATATACGAAATTTCTGAAATTTGTATAATTTAATTAATAATAGATTTTTTTTCTTTTTCTCCCTTTCTCCACTAAATAAATTAAATTAAAAAAAAAAACTAACAAAATCCTTACTCATTTTCAACCACAATTTCCTAGGTAACTCCTTAAAAGTAAAAAAGAAGAGCAGATCTACTTTTTAACCATCTTCTGAATAATTGCATTTATACTCTTTACCCACATTAATTCACCCCTTTAAAACATTTTTTTCCAAAACAAAAGTTTCTAGCCCTTAATTCTCTAATAGCTTTTTTACTTTTTATGCAAAGATTAGAGAAGTGACAGAAAACTGAGGACTGATAATGCCTTCAGGTAATTTCAAAACCATTTTAAGATAATAATTAAAACTGTATGAAGAAATAACTTTATTTTAAATTTCCCCTAAATCATTTTTGATTCATAAATATCTCTTAAGAGGTTATCTATAATGATATCTGAGTATCTTACCTGAGGATAAAAGTTCAAAACCATTGCTTTATTGTGAATAATAATCATTACTAATTGCTATGAAGAACCTTTATGATAGTAGCAGTATGTTATCTTACTTAAATCTCGCAATCACCTTACAAAGTAAGTATCATTAACCCCATCTGAGAGCTAACCAAACTGATAATAAGCTTAAGTAATTGGCCTGAGATCATATAATCAGTAGGTCAGGCAATAAGGAGTCAATTCAGCCCTCTCTCTGGTCAGAACCTAGCAATGGTTGCCCATACAACATGGTTGGCATCTAGATAACCCACAGGGAAAAAAACATTGGGAATCATCCCCTCTTGTCTATGTATATGAAATGCTGTGAAGGCAGGCATTTGGCCTATGACTGAGACACCAGGTTGGGCTGTCCATGTCCTTTATCAGAGTGTCTGGGTTTCATGCTCAGTTCTGACTCCTGACTCCAGTTTCCTGCTAATGCACACCCTGGGAGGCAATAGTGATGGCTCAAGTGGTTGGGTTCCTTCCACCTACACGAGAGACCTAGACTGGGTTCCTGGATACTGGTTTAAACTAACTCAGCCCCAGCCATTAAGCATTTGAGAGGTGAACCAGAAGATGAGCCTACTCCCCCCATCTCTCTTTATCTGTCTATCTCTGTATCAGTCTGTCTCTCTCTGTCTCTCTGCCTCATAATTACATGAATGAATGAATAAAATACATGGCTTATTACATTGATGTGGAGCTCTTTCTTTATTCATATTTTTCTTTTGCATTTCTCTGCTTCAGTTGCTGGAAATCTGTCTGCTGCATTGTCAGTGATGGTCGCTGGCTTCATGGAGATACACAGAAAACGCTTCCCTCCCATGGAGCAGCCCCTTTCAGGCAAAGTTATCATTGTTTCCTCCATGCCCTGTGTCTACCTGGTTCTTCAGTACATTTTACTTGGAGTGGCTGAAACACTGGTAAACCCAGCCTGTGAGTAACATTTTTATGAACTAATGTGAGAACATCCTGAACCTTTGCACACACAGACATGTCACCTGAACAGGGACAACTAAAGTGGGTGATGAGCTACTCACCCCTAGGGATTTCCCACAATGCTGCAAGCAAGCCTGTTTATCACCCTCATTTTAAAAATTCTTCATTTCTCTCCACTCCTCTATCATATACAGAAAAACTATCAATTCTGCCTGGGTGTAGATGGAATGAAAGATTTACTAACTTGGCTGAAGGCTATAACCATTTGGTTAGATCCTTGACAAGAGGGAACAAAATGTTAAAACTCAGAAGACAACTCTAACACACTCAGAGGAAATCACTATTCATCTGTCCCTCTTGCTCATATCTGCAAAAAATGATATTTAATGTACTTTGAGCATGTATAAACATGCAAGTGAAATGAATTTTTGAGCCAATTTTCCAGATAATTCAGTCTTTAAATTAAATTGCACTTGATTAAATGTGATGGCAAATGTTGCATAAGATAGGCACGAAATAATTTCATTAAATATCAAAGGTTTCTGGATTATCTAGATCACTTATATTAATCAAACTAGCCATGTTAAAATTTATAACATTTAAGTGACTTCCTTGTATGTGTGTCTGTATATTTATCAGTATAATCGATTACATCTTATGTTTCTACTTTCCTTATATGTCCCTGCAGTGGGATACCTGATTTTAACTCAAGCCCTCATTACACTTTACGGAGAATATTTTTATAACCTCTATCTACCTACTTCTAAGTATCTTTCCTGTTCTATCAACCAACATACAACCTTTAGAATAATCATGCTTTCCAAATTCCTTAAATATATATTTAATAAATATATACTTGTTAATTAAATAACTGTATGTAGTTATAGTCATTTATACATGTGTCAGACTTCTTTTTTAACCATGTTGAATAATTTCATTCCACATATTTTGCAAGGATAGAGTATTATGTGAGAGTCTGTTATGGGGATGTCATTGTTTAATGTGCAAGAACATAAAAGAAGCATAAATGAACGAATGCCACAATACAAAGATCTGTGATCCTCCCTAGTGATGTTCCTAGAAAACTGTTAGAAGTATCCGGTCAAAATTCTTTGGGCTGGATGTGGAGTAAGATCATGAACGAACATGGTGAATGAATACAGTGACAAATTAATAACCAGCTTACAATCATCGCTCAACATAACAGAAGCCAGAGGGGTACTGATAGCCAACGACTGTTAAAAAGGCAGATCATGTACTATAAATCACTGAGCCATCCCTCCTTGATTTGCTCATGTGTAAATCCATAAGTAAATCTGAGGTCCGGATAAGTTAATTGATTTATCTGCTATAGCAGTGATAGGCTAGGGATCTTTCCATTTACTACCTCCATGACCTTGGGAACCCATTTAACCTTCAAGCTTCACCTTCATGATATTTAAAATAGAAATAAGTATCCTTTTTTCTTGTACCACAGCATTAAGGAATGAAGCAATGGTAATGAGAGGCTACTTTTTAAGTCAGATGACATGAAATATGAAAGAATGTGTTGAGCTATAAAATCAAGTATTACTCTGCTGGGAGGTTGTACAGCATAGTGGTTAAGATCTATGGTCTTAAAGTTAGACAGACTTGAGTTCAAATGCAGTTCTATCGCTGACCTTGGAAAAATTATTCTGCATTTCTAACCCTTTCTGATAGTTGATAAAATGATGAAGAGTTATTTGAAGGACTAAGTAAAACCACTTTATATAAAGCAAAAAACAATGCCTAGTCATAGACACCACATAAAAATTGGCAGCTGTTATTTATATATATATATATACTATTATTATTTCTCTGTATGAATCAATGGTGCCAGACTCAGGAATCAAAGTCGGACATGCTGCTCTCAGCTCTTTTTACTAACAAAAACTCAAATACCAGAGGACTTACGGTGCCAAATCAGCCAAGGACTACATATAATATTTGCTGTGTTCCAATAGAGCTTTCTAAAAATGTGTGGTGAGTTGGTGTCTTTCTCATGAGTCATCATTGAGCCCTCTCTTTCCTTACTCCTCATCTCCAATCCCAAGACAAATCTTATTCTTGAAACACAACTTAGACCTGGCAAATCTCACCACCTCTTTAATCATCCTCATGGTTTACAACAGCGTCATCATTAACCCCAATTCTAGCAGAGCTACTCAACTTGCTTCCTCTCCTGCAACATGTGTGCGTTCTCTTCTAAAGAACTATCTATAATGCTCTTCCAAAGTCGTTAGCCCTACCATCCCACTATTACAATTTGCCATTGGGTGAATTCCTTTTTGTGAAGACCACATGATTTGGTCTATTCATACATTTCCAGTTACATTTGGTTCTATTATGACTGCTGACCACTAAATGACATCTGCAGTTATTTCTACATGGGAGAATAAATATATTATTAAATCATTGACCACAGCCTACATTGATGACATTGAGCAAGAAAACACAGTAACTCACTCCGCAGATGCCAGTGCATATTTTCTACCCTGCTAAGCCATGGGTACACTGGAGGTGAGCTACAAGAGAGAGGAAAAAAAGAAACAATAGAATATTTTTCAAAGTATGTTTTAGTTGTAGTGGTAGATTCCCCAGCTGTTTCATAACTTGTAATTGTTTATTTATTTTAAAAATACTGTATGGGGAACTACAATGTGCTTAACACTGCTCTAGGAGCTGTAGAAATACCAATAAGAAAAAAAAGAAACAAAATTTTTTGCCATTGTAGAGTTTATAGCATTTTTGTAGTTGAGTAGCAGAGAGAAAGTTGCAAGGACAGAAGGTGGTAGTCAGAGGAGGAAGCACAGAGTTGAGATTATGGAAAGATCATGATTGTTGATTCAGGGCATATACTAGCGAACTGTTTCCATTAAGTGTAGATAGTAAACAGGCTTTCCAGGATTGTCTTTATTTATTCAACTATGTCATTATGGTGCCAAATCAGCCAAGGACAACATATAATATTTGCTGTGTTCCAATAGAGCTTTCTGAAAATATGTGGTGAGTTGGACATTATCGGACCATAGTTGAACATCCCGTGGTCTACAAAGTGAATCACAGGCCATAATCATAAGTGAGAGTGGAATGGAAGCTAAGGTAGAGTACAGAATAAGGATGTTGGAGCTCAAGGAAGTGAGGAACCAATGAAAGTTTGGAATGATGATTTACATATATGTTAATACTGCTATAGTTTAAGTCAGAAGAAGTGCTTGAAAGTATGACAACGAGTATAGGCTGACAACCCTGAGAAATAGAAGAAAATTTCCTAGAGATGACAACACAAAGGAAGTAACAGATGATATAGTCTGTTATTATGAGATTTGAAGTGGAAGTTTCTTAGGTAATAATGGTTTGAAGCTGGCAATAGGAGAAAGTTCCATTTTCAGACTGTGATACCTCTCCTTTACATGTTCCAAATAACATCTCACCAAACACAATAAACATGTTTTAGCTGTCTAAGAACAATGGGAGTAAAAAAAAAAATTCTCAGCAGTGGGTCCCAAGTACCAGGTGCCTTAGGAAGGTGGTTATGGTCCTGTGTTTTGTAGATTCTGCATATGCTGTGATGTGGCATCTTTGCAGACACTAACCAGCTACTACCTGGAGGCACATTTTCAGCTCTCATTGGCAAGAAGATCAGCTTTCCCATACACTTTGAATAATTTTTATTGTGTCTTCATTTTATAATGGGAATTTTAGAATAGTGACAGACTTGTTGATAATATCTATGCTATAACAGGCTGAAAGAAGTACCTTGGAACCCAAGAAATCAACTTGATGATTACTGAAGTTGAAAAAGATCAGAACATCCAAGTAGATGCCTAAAAATGGAGATTTGAAGACTTGAAAATGAAGTTGTATAAAAGGGAGCTAGGGGCTTTCAAAAACTACTAAAATGACACCAAAGAGAGATTAACCAGCAGGAAGAAAGCTGGCAAAGTGTGTTCATGAATTATATACCACACCAGAAGTTCTAGCAAGAGAAAAGCATAGAATTAATAATTAACTAGTGGAGTAATAACAGGCTTGTACATTCTGCCTTTTCTCGGGAAAAGAAATAGACCTATTTATTCTTTCTGCCCAGTGTTTGTCTTCACATATTACAGAGAGGAAAGTTCATAAGCCAAATCCTTTCTGTAACTGTGAATCATCTCTTCCCAAATCTGTCTCAGTGTTACCTCCATGCTCTCATTTGGACCTTCCTTCAAATTCTCCAAGGCGTGGACTCGGGCTACTGCTGGTGATTTGTATTACATACAAGAGCTGAGCCACTGCCACCAGGATTTGAAACCTTTTTCCCCAGTGTTGTATTTATTGTCACTGTTATTTTCATCTTCAATTAGTACTTGTGGGATCACTGCCCTTGATAATGCACCTATTTCTGCTCTCCCCCCTTCCAGAGTTTAAAAATCCTGAAAAGATAAACTGTACAATTTTCTTACCACCAGCACCAGCACACAGCAACTCTGGAACACAAGTAGAGATTCCTTTAAACATTTGTTGTATGAATAAATAAAAATAGGTGGAGGCTACACAGAAAGTAAAACAGAAATGTGAAATTAATGCAGGAGCATCGACACATGTACATTATCTATAAGGGAGGCAAATGCAGAATTTTCCTGGGCTACAGTACAAGAAAACCAGGTAGAAGATATTCCTGAGAGGAAAGGGAGGAAATAATAACATTTATTTCTTTTTATAGAAAAGGAAATTAAAGCTTTACTGCTGTTTAGTACATCTGCTTTCAATTGTCACTTTTCTTCTTAAAATGAACTTTAATATTTATTGATGATTGCATTGTAGAAAATATGCAAAGTACAAAAGAGTAAGAAGAAAATTAGAAATCAAATAATTCAACTACTCAAAGCTAAAACTAGTTAATGTTATTTAATGTTTCCTTATAATTTTTGTTACATGTATATAATAGAGATTAGTATAATAAATTTCATGTATCCATCTTTCAGTATCAACAATTTTCAATGCATAGCCAAATTTATTTCATCTATGCTCTCATTCACTCATTTTCTTTTTCCCTGTTGTGTAATTTTAAAACAAATTTCAGATATATTAAAATAAATATCAAATATTTTAACATGTATTCCTGATTGCCATGCACATTTAATAATAGTTGTTAATATTGCACATATATTTTCAATTATTTCTGATTTCAAAAATATTTTAATTGAAAAAAATTTTTTTAATTTATTTATTTATTTGAAAGGCAGGAAGAGAAGGAGAGACAGAGAGGGATCTTCCATCTGCTGGTTCAATCTGCAAATAGCCACAAAAACCAGGACTGGGTTAGGCCAAAGCAAGGAGCCAGGAACTCCATCCTGGTCTACCCCATGGGTGTCAGGGGCCCAAGTATTTGGGCCATCATCCAGTGCCTTCCCAGGCACATCAGCAGGGAACTGCACTGGAATTTGAGTAGCCCAGGCTGAAACTGGCACTTTGATGTGGGATGCTGGCATCGTAAGAAGTCTTAATCCAGCAGTACTGCAATGTCATCCCCTTTCATTGAAATTTTAAAAACATTTTCCCCCATGATTCTCTTTCAATCTATTGCCACTATCATTACTAGTACCACAATAATGATTTGGGAAGAAAAGACAACCATATTGGAGATTCAGAACTTAAGTTATTGTCTCTGTCAGGGCACCCTCTTTTTAATGGGATAATATATCAAAAAGGCTTAGCACATACCTTGCACAAGTAAGAGCAATTTGTACTAAGCACTTAATGTGCATTACATCAAGTATCACAGAACCTCTGCAAGTGAGTAATGATATTATTCCCACTTTGTAGAGGAGGACATTGAGGCTTGCAAAGTTTATCCATCTTGCCTAAAATCACATAGATAGTAAATGATTGTCATGAGATTTTAGCACAATGTTGTCTAACTCCAGAGCCCATGCTCTTAGACGCTATGCAAATTTTACCTAATAAATCTAGGTTTTCCATAAGGAAACTAATGATTTATATAGAATCACAGAATCATAGATCTCATTGACAGATTGTCATGATATTATCTAGTACAGGCCTCACCTCAATTCAAAATTCATCAGAAATACTCAAATTGGACTGAAATTTGAGCGAATATATTAGGACACTCAACCACCAAGTAATCAAATTCTCATCATAGCTGTCTAACTGTATGTTTTGCCATATTTTATTCTTTGAACACATCTTTAAGTTGTATCATAACATATCTTACTACAGTAGCCTAAACAAATTACAACCCAAATTTGGATCATTGAATAAATTATGTCTGATGCCTGATCAAGTTGATTAATTTGAACAGTAACTTAGAAAGTGTTTTAAATGTTCTAAATTCTGACCTTCTCTTTTTCTCTCAGTTTCTGTAATATCTCACAGACATGTTCCAAACACCATCAGAGGAATCTTTATGAATTTTCTGACACTGTTCAATGGATTTGGTTGTTTCACAGGGGCACTGCTGGTGGAATTGGTTTATCTCATCTCAGAAGGTAAAAACAGATTCATGGTATGCTTATATATATTTACTGATTTGATAACTAGGGAATTCAGAGACAAAACCTTAATAGACGGGTTTTACCAGTAAAGTTTTTTTTAATTGATCCACTTTTGCAATTAAGATAGAATTAAGATAGGAAATAGACTCTTGCTGTATTCATTAATTTCTGGGAATTGTTTTTCTTTTGATAGGACGAGGTAATTACAGAATGTCACTTCTCATGAGACTCTGTCTGCCGTCTTTCTTCAGCATAGTTTAAAACAAACTGGTCATTCTGTTCTTATTAGGTCTTTCAACAAGATCACATTTAATAATGCTTCGTAGCTGATACAGACAATTCTCAGAAAAGTTAAAACCTGTATAATGTAGAAGAGAGGTACTTGGATTATTTTTCTTTATTACCTGCCAAGAATCTTGTCTATGCAACCAAAGAGAAGGTGTGAGTTAAACAACAAATGATCTTGAAAATTTTTCCCAGTAGAGGTTTTGGCCAGGAGAATAAAAAAATTGAAAAATTCAGATGAGATGCAAATATTAAAGTATATTAAAAAATTAGGATGATAATAATGATTAGTTGTCATAGTGAAATGCCTTTGGCTGTATTTTAAATCCTCAAACTTTTTTCTTTATTTGTTCTAAAATGTTGATATTGCTTACATTTTATTTTAATTTACTTTTGCTTATTTTATAAAAAATATGACAAGCTTTTTTTCATCTCTATGTTCAAAAATACTTAATCATTTTAAAGGAACATAAAAATATGTTGGTTTGCATTATCTTAAACAGACAAATTTAATTTACCTGATTTCAAACTGTAGAAAAAATAATTGTGATGAGAGAGAAATTCATCTTAACTTCAAGTCTCCATTCACAAAATATTTATCAAGGACTCACTCTTTTCCAGGCACTATACTGAAGACTAGGGATACCATGGCAAGCAAAATATATACTTCTAATCCCTCCCAAAATTTCCATGGGGCATGAAATCAAAAAGAAAAAATTAAGAGTGATAGCAGTGGGCATTTGGCACAGCAATTCTAGTTTCAGCTCCCATGCTTCTGTCCAGCTTCCTGCTAATGTATGTTCTGGGAGGCAGCAAGTGATAGGTCAAATACTTGGGTCCCTATCACTCACATGGGAGATCCAGGGCTCCTTGCTTCAGCTATGTCCAGCCCTCAGGATGTTGCAGGCCTTTAGGGATGAACCCAGCAAACAGAAGGTCTCTTTGTTTCTTCCTGCTTTTCAAGCATGCTTCATATATATAAAAAACAATTGGGGGGTAATAAGAAAATTAATAGATATTGTAGATTCTAAGGAACAAACCCACTAATCTTTGACATATGGCTGATAAGGTCAGATTCTGCACTTTCCTTACTTACCTGAAAATGTTAAGCAAAAATGCAACTTGAATATTTACTTTGTGCCATGTCCTTGTGCTACAAATAATTGTGTGAGATAAAGTTTCAATTCTCAAAGATCTCAAATCCAACTTAAAATAACTAATTCATTTGAACTGCACCAAGTTGCTGACTTCTCTAGTATATAAACAAGAGGTAAAGCACTGGATCTAAGATTTTGTAAGATAAACTGGAAAAGTCTTACCTAAATCTGCATTCAAAATATTTTAGGTGTTGGACATATGTTTTCTTTCTTCACATACATTATTGGATTTTCTAAAAAAATTGTTTACAATTCTATAAACAAATTATATTTGACATTTTAAAACTGAAAAGTCAAATATTACTACTAGGGTATCTTTTATATAAATCCAAATTTGCTCTAACCCAGAGTTAGACCAAATATCATCTGTCAAATTCTCCCCAACACAGCCTGCACTTTATGCACAGCACCAAATTTGAAGATTTCCAGGGCTATCATGACTTCTGACATATCAATATGAACGACTTACTCGGGTTTGATCATTTGCTTAGAATGATTTGCAGAACTCAGAGAGGCAAAAATAGTTATGATTACAGCTCTAACATAGTAAAAGAATACAAATCAGAATGAGCCAAAGGGAGAGACATGCTGAGCAAAATAGTAGGGTTTCAGAAGTGAGGCACCCTTCATCATAGTCCCCTTCAGGCACATCAAAGTGTGGCAGTAGGAAGACTGATGCCAACCAGGAAAGCTAACTGACCTTCACCATCTAGTGTTTTCACTGAGTCTATTACACAGCTACAGTTGATTGGATCATTATCAGGTGGTTGAGCTTATCTCCAGCCTCCTTGCCCTTTCCAAAAGTTGGGCAGATCTTATGCAGCAGAGATACCAACCCTCTGATCACATGGTTGGTCTTTCTTTCTTGCATTCTGAGTCCCTTATTAACATAAACTATCTCTGGAGTCTCTATGAGACACCTCATTAGCATAAATTATCATTCTGTGTCCAATAGGCCCACCATAAATAAAAAAAAGCATTCCAACCACTGAAGAAATTAGAAGGATTTAGAGTTTATTTCCCAGGAATCAGACCAGGAAAATCTTACACACAACTATTCTTTCAAAAACATTTCAATGAAAATCTAAATCTTTATTGACAATCTGCACAGTGTGACAGGAGCTTTAAAATACATTATTGCATTTATTACAGCAATCTTATAATTGATTTCCTTATTTTTTTTAAGTGCCACAATTCAGTAGAAAAAAAAAAAAAACAAAGCAAAGTGCTCTTCTGGTCTAATATTGTACCAAAAAATGGAAGATGCACTGGCATTTTCTACAGTCAAGGAAAATTCTCTATGTTGAGATATAGGTGAATTAATTAGGCTGTAAGTTTAATCTTCCATTCACACAGCAACTCCTCAAACATTTGGTTAATATTCAGAGAAATAATGAGGTATAGTGGTTACAAACTAGAGTCAGACCACCTATATTTAAAGTGAGATAGTCTATGTTCTCAGTTTCCATGTCAGTAGAGACAATAAATAATTCACTATGTTGTTCTGAGGATTAAGTAATTAATATGTAAAGTAAGCACTCAATTAAAATAACAGTCATGATCTACTTCTGTTTTATAGACAAATCACTCCAACTGTTTCATATTGCATGATTTTCTGATTTTTTGCTAACAAGGCCCCTCCATCTATAACGCAAATGATAATTTTTAAGTATCTTTCTTAAAAGCATGGTTCCAAAACCAAACAAATTACTCAAGATAGGTACAACCAGGATAGTTAGGTTAATTTTGCATTCTCTCCCTCCCCTCTCTGAGGGCCAACAGAGATTGTGTTTGACTTTTCCAGTAGTTGCATCATGCTGATGGTCAATCCAAACTCAAAACATTTGTTTTTCTTTTCAGCAATTGCTCTCAATTCAGCTCCACTCATCCTATCACAACTTTTCTCCAATTAAATGCAGGACTTTATTCATAATAAATGTCAACCCATCATCCTAAAAACAGACATTTTTGAAACTTGATTCTGTCATCCACTGAATTACTAATCTTTGCTCCTTTACTCATTTTGTGTCATCTGCAAATTTAGTAAGCAAACGTCCAGACATATTCTGGGTAATTGATAAAATTGTTGAATTGGACAGGACCAAAAATAGAGTCTTATAGAAAATTCCTAGAGACTTCACTGCAAGTTAATGATAATCAATTATTCCTCCCCTTTGGATGTAATCAGCTCCCAATTCATCTAATTACACTCATTCAGCCCACATACTTCTCCATCATTCCCTAAATGACATCACAGGAAACTTTGTCATGTTTTTCTGCAAGTCGGATTTGTCTGTATTTGTGACAGACATAGACTTTTTCTATTCCTTTAGCTATCAGAACAGCATCCCTTAAGAAAGGAAATGAGGTTCATTTGGATGACTTGCTGCTAGTGATCCCATGCTGGTTTATACTGACTAATTAGGGGCCCTAAAAAGAATGACCCTTTGAACATAAGCAACACTCTGTGTGGGTCATTATCTCTCTCAGACTATTTCCTTTTAATTAAAAAAGAGAATGACCCACTTCACTTTTCTCAGAGATGATGAGATGATAAAATAAAGTTTGGGAAATTTTCAATGCCAGAGATTATTTTTCTTTAATTTTTATTTATTTGAGAGACACAGATAGAGTTTCTATCTGCTGGTTCTTTCTCCAAATGTCCAAAATAGGCAGAGGTACAGGACTGGGATAAAGCTAAAAGTTGAGAATTCAGTTCAGTTCTCCTTCATGGCAGGAATTCAATTACTTGAGCCATCACTTCTATCTCCCAGAATCTGCATTAACATGTATAGCTGGAGTCTGGGGCTGGATCCAGGTACTGAATTCAGGTACTCTGATATGGGACATGGCTTGCCTTAACCAGCATCTTAACCGTTAGGCTTAAGATGCCCATACCCTCAGAGATTATTTTTAAATATAAAATTGAGTCATATATTAAAATGGTCCATTCAGCCTATTCAAACAACCAGTCCAATTATTTTACAGATGTGATCGTAATGAAACAAAAACTAGTAGATATTTATGTACTCCACATCCCTCACCATTTCACTGAGCATACAGACTATTTCCAGCCTTTAAGAATTCATGTCATTTGCGCATGTGTGCATGTGAGTGTGTGTGAGTGGTAGTGTATCATTGGAAGTGAAGATCAGCTATCACAGTTTCCAAGCTGCATTAGTCATTTTTAGCACCATGATGGAGAATAGTGTGAATGCGGTAAACTCAAAAGATTTCTCCAAACTTGACTGTGCAGACAGATAACTGTTAGAGTGACATTTTCAGTACAAGTGAGAAAACTGATCCTTCTGGGATCTCTAACTCTGAGTGCTTTAAAGGAGAAGATACAAGACTAAACCCATCCTCCTACACTAATCATTTCAGGAATAGTTTATCTAAAAGTAGCAATGCTAATATAAGGGAGTAAAGAAGTCAGTCAAACTGCTTATTTCGGCTATATCCCATTAGCAACAAGATCAATTTTCTCACACTCCTGAGTTCGAACTTAGCTTTTGACAAAAATAACAAAGTAGAATTCAGTGAAAAATGACA